TGTAGTATGTAACCTTTTGACACTGACTTTTTTAACTCAGCATAATGTCTTTGGGATTCATCCAAGTTGTTGAGTATATCAATAGTTCATTTCTTTTTATTGCCGAGTAGTATCCTATTCTGTGGCTGTACTGCAATTTATCCATTCACCCATTGAAGGAAATTTGGGTTGTTTCCAGTTTGGGCACTTATGAATAGAGCAGCTAAAAACAGTCATGTACAGGTTTTTATGTGAACATAAGTTTTTGTTTCTCTAGAGTATAATATACTTATTAATTACATTTATCTTTTTTTTTCCCATGTTTTGTTCATGGAATACCATTCTAAACTCCTAAAACAATTCCTGGCACATAACAGGAGCTCGATAAATTAGTGAATATGCAATGTTACTTTCAAATGGAAACGTGGAGTGAAACCAGAGTCACTGAACACATTCAGGGTTTGCATTGCCAAACTCTAGACTGCAGTTTACTCAAACCCCAAATGGCAGGAGACTTGAGCTGAAAGACGCCTGCAAGTTGAGAATGTAAAAGGCTTTTTACTGAAAGTAAAGTAATTCCTCCCTAATGTTTTTGGTGGCCATCTATCAGATTCTTGATTTGGAGGAGGAGCTTGGGATGAGGTTGAAGAGAAACCTCTTGGGAGAGTACTTTAACAGTGATGTCAGCATAACTCATTTGTGAGCAAAATGAAAAGCCAGCTTTTCCACCCTAAGGATAACCCAGAAACAAACTTGCTTGCAAAAGCAGGGGAAATATTGGCACTGTTCTCCCCACATTATCTGACCCATTTAATTTCACTTGAACTCATGGTAAAGGTCACCAGATGAGCTAAGAAAAAGAAAAGCATTAGAGATAATGAAGAAACTAATGATTATATGAGAGGTTGATGTTTATAAAGGAAGGTAATTGATTTACTGGAATACTTGTGTTTACGGCCATAGGCTATATCTGCACTATGAAGTATCTTTTGGATAAGCTTTTAAAAGCCACATAAATGGCATTCAATTTAAAATCAGATGCTTCCTAATGCCCCAAAGCAAGAAAGCAATGTACCTGATTAAAACACATGGACGTCCTGTAACCCTATTCATTAGAGCATGGAATTCAGTAACAATCACTTGGATCTTGGATCTCATCCAGTACATTATAGTTTTTGAAGTCTCAACAAGATTTCAGTTTAAGGGTTCCATGTTTCAATTTTGAGCAAGGTTTCAGAATAAGTTTTCTTGATTTCTTAAATAAATTTTCTCCTTTTTTTGGTATAAATTATATGGACTCATAAAATTTTCAAATATACAGAACCATATCAAGAAAAAAATCAAAAGCAATCCTGCACCTATATATAAGCACTATTGATTTTTTGATGAAAATCTTTCCAGACATCTTTCCAGGTGTGTGTACAATACATGTATATGTTTTTGTCTCTCTAAAGAGAAGAAGTTATAGTGGTACTTTTAGGGTCGGAGGAAGCTACCTTCACTTTCAATGAGTGATCAGTACATAGAAGAAAGAGGATTAACTTCAGCATCTAAACACCTAAAACACTACAAACATCAGTGTTTAATTAAACATTTTGAGGTTAATCTTTAACTATCAGGAAAAATGAAGTAATCCTGAAATATATCATGGGTCTGAGTTCACCTGAATGCCATGTGGGAGTAAAGAGGCTTTGCTTATCCAGCCAGGTATCCAAGTTAAAACACTGTGGCGATTGGGGAGGTCCAAGTATAGGACTAAAACAGAACACCATTAACTTTCCACTTTGCCCAAATCTCCGGTAAATGAGAAACAAATGTCCATTCACAGTTCTTTAGCCATTATGGATGGCCAATTAGGTGGGGATATGGGCGGCATTATCATCAACTCAGGTGAAACTCCTTGCTCTTTTAATCAGCCCAAGCAGTAGGCTGTGTATATGTGTCTATTTTGTTTAAATATATGTGCAGGAATCAGTTCAGTGATGCTACTGTGTGACTGAATGAACTTCTGAGTAGATCATAAAGAGTGTTTTTCTAACCACTATAATATTCAAGAGTAGTCATTTAGACCATCTTTAATTTCCCCCAGTTGGTAGCCCAATAGTTGGTATATTGCCTTAAATGTTCAAAAAGCAAGTCTCTGCCATTGGCAGTGACTAGAAACTAGGAATTTCTGCCAAAGTTCTTGTGATCTAATCCTCTCTTGAAAGCACAAAGCTAAAGCATGTACTGAAATGCCTGAGTCAGCCACTCCAGGGATATACTGACTGCACCCCTGTTCATTTTTCTAGGATGAACAATCTCCTTGGTGACCCTCAGCAACTGGCTTTTACTCTCTCCACCTAGAAATACACATATTATAACTATGCATAAAAAGCACACACACACATATGCAAACACACATAAACTATATCTAAATGCTGGCATTAGCTTTATTATATTTTTTAGAATTATGCTTAATTTTTAGCAGATTTTGTTTAATAATTCATCAGAAAATAATTTCACCTCTTCTACTGATTGCTGCTTCAGCTTCTCTAACTTTGTAATTTAGGGAAGAAAAAGACAGGTACCTAACTATTTATTGAATGTTTAGTATGTGCCTGGAATTTTTACTTGTTTAGTGTTATTCCCATTTGATAGATGAGGACCTCAGAACAGTCAAGTGAGGGCGCATAGCTCTGCCGTAGCAAGCACAGTTAATACTTGAACAAGGTCTATCTGATTCCACAGGCCTCTCTATCACCACATCATGCTGTGGAATGCTAGGTTTATAAAAGTTTATCATCAATCTTATTAAGTAAAAAAAGCAAGCATAATATACTACCATTGTGTGAAATGTGTGTGTGTATATATATATATACATAGATACATATATATATGCACATATACATATATAAACATGCATATGTGTGTCTATTTTTACATATGCTTAGCATATTTAGCATATCTCTGGAAGACCATACAATGATTACTACCAGGGATGGGAACTGGGCTGCTAGAAATCTAGACTTTTTATTATAAAATCTTTTATACCTTTTCAATTTTGTTTTATGTGTATTACCTATTCAGAAAAGAAACAATAGGGATGGCCTAGTGGTGCAGCGGTTAAGTGTGCACCTTCTGCTTCGGCAGCCCGGGGTTCGCCAGTTCAGATCCTGGGTGTGGACATGGCACTGCTTGGCAAGCCATCCTGTGGTAGGCGTCCCACATATAGAGTGGAGGAACATGGGCACAGATGTGAGCTCAGGGCCAGTCTTCCTCAGTAAAAAGAGGAGGATTGGCAGTTGTTAGCTCAGGGCTAATCTTCCTCAAAAAAAAAAAGAAAGAATATATTTTTTTAAGATTTTATTTTTTCCTTTTTCTCCCCAAAGCCCCCCCTGCAAATAGTTGTATATATTTTTTTAGTTGTGGCATGTGGGATGCCACCTCAACATGGCTTGATGAGCAGTGCCATGTCCACGCCCAGGATCTGAACCGGCAAAACCCTGGGCCACCGAAGCTGAGTGCATGAACTTAACCACTCCTCCACGGGGCCAGCCCCAGAAGCAGTATTTTAAAGACTGTTGTTAGCTATGTTTTTAGAAACATATCTGACTCTTTTTTAGATTTAGTAATCTATTTGTTACTAAAGTTTCCTAGGCTTGTAAAGCTTCTAATGCTGTAGGATATTAATACTAGCTATTATGATATTGATAAGCATTGATAATGATCATATCTTTCTAGTTTTTCACTTCTCATGATGCTACTCTAATGTCCTACCACATTAGAATTTGAAAAGGAAGAAGAATACTGATAGAATATATATTGATGTTAGCAGAGGTAATGGTGACTGATTCATCTGCATTCAACTATTTATGTACACTTTTAATGCTATTTAAGGTTATAATAGTTTTTGATTTATCTAGTTTTTGAAACAAGAACACTGTGCCTCAAATGACAGTAGTTGCCAGTCATGACTAAAGTAAAAGAAGTATTTTGTAAAAGTCCTAAAACTGAATTTAAAAAGTTTCCTGTCTACTAACAGCTATATTTAGTTTGGGGCTACCATTAATGGAAATACCTTATCTTGAATACGCTTTATTTTCAAAACTACAATGACCTGTTTACATAGCTGTCTTCCTTACTAGACTGGGCATTCCTTGAGGGCAGGGTCCATGCCTCATTTACTCCTGTATTCTCAGTGGCTAGCCTAATGCCTGACACTTGGTAGGTAGCTGAAAATGTTGATTTGAGTTGAATCAAACTGAACTAGAGATTCTTACATTAGTCCAGAGAAGAGATATCATCTCAGTCTTCAGATATTTGAAAGGTTCTCATGTGGAAGAGATTAAGTTTGTCCTATATGCCTTCAGGAGGCAGCAAACCAATGGGTGGAAGTTTCAAGAAGTTTCTAAATGTTGAGTTGTCAAAAGCTAGATGGCACTGTCTTAGGGGGTACTGAATCTATCACCCAGAGAGTCACTCATGGCTGGTCAACTACCAAGATAATTCAAGTATTTAATTGTTCATTTGTTCCTTCACGCATTTGCTCAAACATTTACTGAGCAGGCACTGTTCTAAATACTGGATACCAAGATTGAATAAATCATAATCCCTGCCCTCAGGGAACTCACAGCCAGCAGGGGAACAGAAGTATTAGAAAAGGATTACAATCCAGGGTGCTAAGAAGTTGTTACAGAGATGTAATGGTAACACTCTGGAGAGAGTGGACAGGAAAGGCTGCTGGAGAGATGACTCTTGAGGAGAGTTGACCAGGCGGACAAAGGGAGAAAGAAGTCCTAAGCAGAAGGAACAATACATGCAAAGGCTCAGAAGTTAAAGTATTCAGAATAAAGTAGGGGTATTTCATTTGGATTATATGCCCTTAAAGGACCCTCCAGTCCTAAGATTCTGTGTGCTGGCCCTTTAACTTAGTGTATTTTTTCACTTCATGCCAAATATTTTGTGTGTGTGTGTATTTCAGTTGTCATTTTTCATGGGAAACAAAAATACTAACCTTCTTCTTTGATTTTTGTTCATAGTCAAGTTCATCAGAGAAGTAACGCCATATATCAAGAAGCCATCATTAGTATCAGATCTGCCATGGGAAGGTGCAGCTCCCCAGTCTCCAAGCTTTAGTGGCAGTGAGGACTCTGGTTCTCCAAAACACCAGAACAGCACCAAAGACAGGAAGGTCATCCCTCTCAAAATGTGCTTTGCTGCTAGAAACTTAAGCATGCCGGATCTGGAAAACAGGTGAGCTGTACCTAAGGAGAACATCATACTTACAGCTTTGTAAACTTAAGGACATATTGCAGTATTACTTATGCATATTATTAGGCAATAATGCAACTAAATTATACAGAGGAAAACATCAGTCTGAGATGAGAGAATAATTTTTGGAGTTCATATTTAAATTACTTCATACATATATGTACTTGTACATATGTAGAAACATTTTGGACAAACACCCAAGAAACTTAATGGTGGTTACTCCTGAGGAGTGAAATGGGATTAGAAGGTAGAAGGAAAGAAGGGCCTTCTACTCTTTATTTTATACCTTTTTGGAGTGTTATTATTACATTTTTTCACTATAAACATTACTTTATAATTGAAAAAAAACTTGTTAAAGAAATTCTTTTAACTGTCTGCTTGGATGGAAATTCTTTATACTATGGATAGTATAAAGAATCAGAGATCTGCATTATAGATCTGGCTGCATCAGCTAGCAGTGTGACCCTGGCAAGTTAGCTTCTCTTGACCTCAGTTTCTCGTTTGTAAAATGAGAGTTGGATTGGATAATTTCTGATAGCCCTCCTAGTTCTATAAGCATTTGGGTTTTATGACTTTGTCTTCATTAGCTCCATGAAGTGACACTGGTAAACCTAGTGTTAGATTAGAGATTAGGAAAAAGAAAAAAAGAAATAAAGAAACTTGTCGAAAGATCTAGTTAAGGACAGACTTTTTATAATGTGCTTTCACTTTTATGGTCGTCTCTGATCTAAATGCATAGCCACGTGCCTAATCAGGATGGGATGGATCATAGAAGACAAAAAGAGCTGAATGCCCTTCTTGGGCATTTAATGTCCCACATAGGGACATTAAAACTCCTTCTCTGTAATATATTGTGTGGTATGCTGGAAAGAGTTGAGCTCTGCAATCAGACAGACCTTGGTTTGAATCCCAACCAGGTCACCTACTTAAAGGAAGGCTCTGAGCAAATCCCTTCACCTCATAAACCACCATGTCCTCATCTGTAATTAAAAAAAGGGGAGGGGGAGAAGATAATAATACTTAACTCAGTTCCAGATTAAATGAGATAATATATATGAAGCCCTTTGCATAGAGCCAAGCACATAGTGAGTTCTCAAGAAATAGTAGTTTAAAAAAGTCTTAACTGCCAACTATGTATACACACTTTTGAAAATTATATTCTGATATATTTGTATTGTTTTTGTTTGCTTTCTTTTAAAAGTTCAAGACATAGAAGTTACTTCATGTTACATACAGATTTATTTGTGAAAGATTGTGTGTGTGTTGACTCATCAAAATGGAACACAGCTTATCTTTAAAGAAATACTATATTTTTTCATAAAGTAAGAATTTAATTTCTAAAGTAAATAATCACCTCTGCCTGTTAAATCCAAATTTTAAAATTTTTTTCTTCAAATGGCAAACATTTATCTAAGCTTTCGGTCTGTTAATCGTGGACTTAAAAAAAAATTAGATAGTAGGGACCATAGAGAAGGAACTAGAATAGAGAAACAAGGTGATGAAGAACAAATCGCAGCTAAATTTGTCAGCTGCTTGTCAGGCTGAGGAAAGTATTCAGGCTGAGTCCCTTCATTGTAAATCATTTCTGAGCATTAGAATAGATACCTGTTGTCTTAGTCTGTTTTGGCGGCTATAAGAAAATACCATAGATGAGGTGGCTTATAAACAGCAGAATTTATTTTTCAGTTTTGAGGAAGGCTGGGAAATCCAAGATCAAGGCACTGGCAGATTGAATACCTGGTGAGGGCCTGCTCCCTGGTTCATAGATGGCGTTTTGCTATGTCCTCACGTGGCAGAAGAGAATAGAGAGCTCTCTATTATAAGAGCACTACTCCCATTCATGAGAGCTCTGCCCTTGTGACTTAAGCACCTCCCAAAGGCCTCATCTCCTAATATTATCACATTAGAGGTTAGGATTTTAACATATGAATTTGGTGGTGGCGGGGACAAACATTTAATCCATAGCACCTCTAGTGCTGCTGATATAACTGGGTATTGGAGAAAAAAGCAAAGTATTTAAAGTTGCTATAGAACTCTAGGGTTATGGGAGTAGGGAGAGAAGGAAAGAGGAAGGTGATATGACTTGGCTGTATTGCTGAAAGTTGTGCTACTTTATCATCTACTAAGACATCTTTTAGAGCTCAGTAACCTTGGCCTTCATTGAAACTTGGGGCTGCATTCTCTTTACCATGTAAATATGCTAAAGACATTTGGTGGATGGCTAGGTTTGAAAAAGGTCTTCAGAACCAATTGGAGAGGGCAGCTGGAGCTACAAGAGTTGTATCACACCTTACTCTTCAATAAGATGACCAGTCTGCTTGACCATGGTGTACTATGCAAGGAGAGGTCTTAGAAGATTCAGGCTATTGCAGGTTCTCAGTCTTAATGCTGCAAAGTAATTTGTTTCTAATTTTACTTGAAACACCAAAATTTGCAAATGATTTGCTTTTTGTAAAATATAAATTAGAAGAGATTCAAGGTTATTCCTATATAACTCTTACTTGCATTCCAGTGCGCTTTTTAGAGAAAAAGAAAAGCAGTAGCATTACATGTACCTGGAAAAATTGTGCATAATACCCACAGGAATGTGAACATCTATCCTATGTGTCTTGGCAGAAAAAAATGTTCAGAACCATTGACTAATTAGACGGAAGTTAGGATGGTGGACTTTGTAACTTTGGCCAACCTCTTTGTTTTTCATAAGGCTTGGTTTTCTCTTGTTTAAAATGAAAGGTTATGTGAGGATTAAATAGGAGAATGATTGTAAAATTGGCATAGTAAGCCCTCAATATATTATTAGTATTATAGGTGCTGTTAGTGTCCTTGTGACCTTAAATAAGTCCATTAATTTCTCTGTCTTCCTGTTTTCTCTGTCTTTAAAATGGATGTAATAATGCCTACTCAACTATACTCTTTAGAACTACTTCAAGGATAAATAAGATAATATCTATAAAATCACTTGGAGCTCTTTGATCCTTAAATTTATCTCAGCTCTGTCAAAGGAAGTGTCATGATGGGTCACCCAGCTGCAACATTTAAAGCCATGAAAAAAAACAGTTCATGTAGGAAGAGCAAAAATAAGTTTCCATCAGGACATCTGTCACCAAGATATTTATCAAATTTCAGCTTTGTGTAACTGACCATATTTCTGTTTGAAAATCTTAGTCTTTCACATAGTCTCGTGTAAAGCTCTGAGCAAGAAATAGGCTTAGATGTTCCCTAATCTGGAAAATACTTATGAATCTGGTTTTACAGCCCTACATAGGCATGTGATTTCCCATCATTCTTCATTTTTTTATTAATATTTTATTATGAAAATCTTCAAACATATAGCAAAGTCGAAAGAATTTTGTAGTCAACATTCATTTTCCCACCACCTAAATTCTACCATTAACATTTTACTATATTTGCTTTATCCTATCAGTTCATCTGTCCATCTGTCAATCCATCTTAATTATTTTTTATGCATTTCAAAGTGAATTGCAGACATTAATATACTTCCCTCTAAATACTTAAGCATGCATATAAATATCTAGAGTTCAGTGTTTTGTTATAGTTCTTTTTTTGAGATAATATTTACATTCAATAAAATGTACAAATCATAAATTTTGACACATGCATACAATTATGTAACCAAAGCCTATCACGATACAGAACATTACCATCATCCTGGAAAGTTTTCTTGTGCCCTTTCCCAGTCAATTCCCTCACCTACCTCCCAAGGCTACTACTGTTCTGACTTTCTACCATAGATTAGTTTTAATTATTATAAAACTTCATACAAATGTAATCATATCATATATACTCTTTTGTAATAGAATTCTTTTACTCAGCATAAGGCTTTTGAGATTCATCCATGTTGTTGCATATATCAATAGTTCTTTTTTATTCCAGAGTAGTATTGTGTTGTATGAGTATATCGCAATTTCTTTATGCATTTTCCTATTGATGGACACCTGAGCTGTTTCTAGTTTGGAGCTAATATTAATAAAGTTACCATAAATATCTTTGTACAACTCTTTTTGTGGGCATAAATTTTTATTTCTCTTGGGTAAATTCTTAGGAGTGGAATTGCTCGGTCAAAGAGTAGGTGTATGTTTAGTTTTTTAAAAAACTGCCAAACTTTTTCCCAAAGTGGTTGTGCCATTTTATATTCTCACCAACAATGATGAGAGTTTCTGTTGCTCCACGTCTTCGGCAACATTATTGGTGTCAGTCTTTTTAATATTAACTATTCTAGATGTGTAGTGGAATCTCTTTGTGGTTGATCCTTCATTTTTATGTAAAGGCTTCACTTTCTAAACCAAAAACTTATTTGACATAAGAGGGAAACATCCTTTTTTTTGTTTTACTACTTTGATTTAGTTTCACTATTTAGAGCTGAAAAATAATGGTGACCCAGGAGGAGGAGGAAGTTTATTCTCTTCCTCCACCTTGAGTTCTCAGGACCTCACTAGATGCTTCTGATAGTTATAAGCGGTTCGTTCTGGAAAGTGAAAGCTAAATAAATAATGATGAAGTCAGGAAGAGAACATGAGCACATTCCTTAGCAAACAGCATTGTGGACAGTGTGGAGTTTAGCAAGGACAAAGTGTTCTTAAATGCTGCGTTTCGGAAGTGTAAGTCTGTTTCCTTTGAGCTGGTTCAAAATGTCTTGGTCATCTTCACATTGGCTCTTATCCATGTAAAAGGTAAATTTTGGCTTTATCACATATAAAACAATATGATTATTGCTAAATTGAACACATAAGTTATGTCAAAGACGTTACTAAACAGAAGAAATAAGCAGGCTAGACTTAACAGAAACCTATGCTTTTGTGTACCTAGACACTGATTTGATTCATACAATCAAAATGTAATAGCATTTTCTCAGGAAATCCTCAGTGGTTTGACTAGAGGCCAAAATTCTTCACACTGTAGCTGTCTCCTCCTCTCTCCTGTGGGCCCAAACGATTACTGGCAGGCTGCCTCTAAATTTTTAT